CACTAGCGCGTTGGATCGACGGAGAGCACCGATACTCGGCACGCTCTACCGTACTCTCTCGCTCGCACACCTCCCTCCCATAGACCACCGAAATTCCTCGGCACCCGTCAACACCGACGGAGAGCACCGATACCGCGGCTCGCTCTACCGCTCTCGCTCGCACGCCGTGACGTCACCCGATTCCCGGAATCCCGCGGCCACGAGATGGCTGATTACGGTAAGGCATTCCCGCAAAGGAAATTCTCGGAAATGATTTAAGATTAGAAACTAAAATTTTACACAATTTAGTTTCTTGTGGTTATCAACAAATGCTGCAAATTCGAAAAATGTCATTCATTAAGATCAGAGTTCTGTGCGTTTAAGTGGGTATCGATACTTCTGTTTAGATACCTTCTTACAAAAGTAGTTATGATACTTCGTGTATCAATTCAACTGCTCTGACACTTGTAACTGCTGCGATTGAATGCGTAGCACATAGATGGGTATATATCCGCAGATAGATGCAACTGTTATATAGAAATCGGCCTGCATCAGACGGGTTGAGTAGGGGAACCCCTAGTTAATAACAGAGTAACTAAGTTACTCTTAGCATACTAATACTTACTCTTACACTTCCTCACTCACACTTGGTCCCTGGCGCCTCCACCGAGGGTTCCAAGACCCCACGATCCTCCATACGGGGTCTCTGGCTTACTACAGAAACTAACTACTGCCTAATTGTTACTTGTAGGTGACGGGACAGTGGACGGTAGTGAAATGATTGAGTCAACATGCGCTTGAAACATTGTCTTTATTACTGTTGTTCGTGTAACTCTCGAGTTTGGTTGGTTCTGCTCGTGTAACTGTAGCATTTTTATTCTCGTGAAATCATATAGATACACGCAATATGAATGGAATATATAACACTTCATTTGAGCTAATAATACTCAGAATTCATGTTTTTTCGGTAACGTCGGGTATTGACATTAAAATGGTAAGGGGGCTTCTGACGCCCTCGAAGTATGGGACAGAAAATTACATTGCGTGTTAGGTCTATTCATATATTTCGTCTGTGCTTGTAGCCATGTTGAGTACATTACATTATACCAGGCATTGAACAAAATTTGGCTTTGCGGTTTAGCTGATTGAGATGTTCTTTATTTCTTTCTGTCTTTAAAGTAATTTAATTTCTTTCGACTAAATTGAACAGACTGGGGATGATTATGCAAATGTAGATTTTTAAATTTTTATTTTCTAGAATCTAGAAAATAGCTATTAACGATTCCTTCGGCTTTCAAATGAAATAAATTATCATTGTACGTTCACTGTAAAATATTTTACTGTATCGAATTATAGATAATTGTAAATGTTATAAATGCATAGAAACCCCATTCTGGAAATAAGAAATAAGTAAAAAAATTGAGACAGCAGTACTGAACTGCATGATCTGCAGACATATGGGACAGTGGTAGACAGCGTGACAATAGACAGCAGTAGACAGTAGCAGCAGTAAGTGACAGTTGTTTGTGCGCGGATTCTATTTAGAATCGTGTTCTTCAAGTTGTAAATTTGTTTGTTTAAATTCTCCTGTTAATATTACTTAATCGACTTCATGCTGTGATTCAATGTCTGTTGCGAAATTTACATTATTAATCTACATAGTATGTGATGAAGTTACGGCATGTCTATAATCATTTGTTCCCGAATGAATTGTCATGTTTATGCTGGGAAAACTATGTCTATTATCTAACATTACCTTCAATACGAAGTAGATTATCTATTATTCTGTAAGAAAAAAAGGTACCGTCTTATATTTCTATTTTTATTTCATGCTTGCATACTTTTTTACCGCTGCGGCGTATGAATCACCGCCGTGATCTCTGTTATCAGTTTGACTCGCCCTGTAATGTAATGACAACAAAAGTGTTACAGATTCAATATTTAATTATATTACATGTAATGTTTACATGGGATCTCTAATTTTTTTTTGTTCGAACCCTTATAATTGTGTCGGTTATTAAAAACGATATAGCTACATTGTGAATATTTATGCAAATGTATAATAATTAAAAATATTAAGGTATAATAATAACAAGTTAATTATAAGTGCTGTAAGTGCATAAGACTTGGAGTCTGGTTTTAACACTAAAACTACTGTGTTATAGGTGAATTAAGATATTCTTGTGACAATACATTAAAATGCCAAGCTCATATTTGTATGCCATAAACAATGAAGGGCGTGTTTTTGGACTATCAACATCCGGGAACATGTGGAAAGAATTTATGTATCTAGGTCTGGAATTCAAACAGCTATCAGCAGTCCCACACTTTATGTGGGCTATCGGGGGTGACCGTCAAGTCTATGTACATGTACACGGTTTAGATGTACCCATAAGAATCAAAGAAGAAATATATGAGAACGAAGTAGGTTGACTAATATTGTTTCCAAGTATAAATTCGTATTTATTATAATATAAGATTCATCAAACTGTCTTTAATTATTCCTAATTATGTCTATGTGGTCATTTAAGTTGAAAAGATCATATACAGAGTGTTAATAAATATGTGAGAAATTTTCACATGGTGGATTCTACAGAGCAAACTAAGATGAAAATGAAGAATGACAAAATTAAGTTGGATACAGGCCCAGATTAAGATTTTTTTGTGGCTCAAGGCTATCAAATTTTCGGGGACCCTCTTGGTTGAAAAGCAGGGGAATTTTTATAAGACTGTTTTGCACTCGTATCTTCGACAGTCGATAACTCGGAAACGAAGCCTTTAACGCATTTTCGTTATTCTTGATTTTTGTCTTAGTTTGAAATGTAGAATCCACCCTATGAAAATGTCCCACATTTTTATTAACACCCTCTGAATTTAGTAAATATTGTATAAATCTAATAATAGTGGATAATGCTTACAGCGTTGGCTTCCATTGGAAGGATTTAGTGGAAGATTATTGCCTACAGACAGGTATAATTTTTCCAATCAAGATGGTACAGTCGATCGTAGTCGAGATAAAGTAAAATTACCATCAATGGCTTGGCAATGGGAAGGTGACTGGCAAATAGAAACTACTTTGGATGGACAACCACTGGATCATGATGTAAATATAATTGATCTTCTTTTACTATAGTACATGTCATTAAGTTCTCTGTATTTCCTTATATTTATTTTTTCATATTTTCTAGCTTATATCCCAAATATTCTTTGTTTTACTTTTGTTCAATTTAAGTTACACTCGTTGTATTTTCTATGTTGGACTACTACATAAGTGTTATTAGTTTTTTTATTTAAATAAAGACCTTGTTATTCATGAAACTGTTGCCAGAAAATTGTATTTAGAAGATACAAGTAAATTAATTTATTTGTGTTACATTATGAGATTGTTCTATAATTTTCTCCTTGTTGTTATGTTGCTTGTAACTTTCTGTTTGCATGTAGAGTTGTTGTCAGTTATCAAGATTGAAACAAAACGTTATGATCACAGAGAATCTGATATTTTGGTAGGGATGGACGTACGCAGTCGATTTCCCAGCTACGTATTCGACAAAAAAGCAATGGAAATCCTGTGTCAGACGGAGGAAATGGGTTCGTTATCGAAGATACAGCGCTATGAATTCGTGGTGTGCTATTGCGCCTCTTCATAAAGATCCGACTAAGGTATCGAATTGTTTCCTTGTACAAAAGTTTGTTGCTCTCTTATTGTACCACTGTGTCAGATAAACAATACATTGTACTTTTAGGAACCATTTATTGACATATCTGTGGGTGGAAATCAAATACCTGGAGGTAATCTGGGATGCCTAATAGTCTGGGCAGTAACTGCTCATGGGAGGGTATAACATTTTAAAGAAATTCTTTTGAAGCATTTTAATGAAGCACAGGCTATTACATTAATTCTAAAGAATATTACAATACGTAATTCTTGTCACTGCATTAGCTGTACTTGTATCTGAATTTGCTAGAAACTTTTATGTAAACGGGGTTGAAATGATGTATTAACCAGCGATTATAATGTACAGGTAATGTTTCGTGTTAGCACCAGCACTACTTGTCCTGAAGGGCAAAGGTGGAGTGCTATAAAATTATCGAATGGTCACGAGGTATCTCAGATCAGTGTTGGAATGACTGGTCTCGTTTGGGCTGTTCTAATGGTTGGCAAAGCATTAGTACGTACAGGCATTACTAGAGAAAATCCAACGGGTATATATAGTTTTTATAAAGTTTCAATGCTCGTACGTGTACTTGCAAGTCTTCTGGAATGATAGATATAATTTCATTTCGTAGGTGATGATTGGTCGGAAGTTGAACCTCCACAGAAAGACTTAAAATTGGTACAAGTTAGCGTAGGTACGGACTCTGTTTGGGCTATAACACATGACGGAGGGGTGTGGTTTCGAAAAGGTATTAAGGGTGAAATGAGTGGAGTTTGCGAACAGATGGCTACTGGTACCGGTTGGGTAGAAATGTTAAGCAAAATGTCACTGGTGTCTGTTGCTCCAAATGATCAGGTAACTCATTTCATTTCAAAAGTGTAAATATTTATGTTTGTTATAAATATTTATATGTACTTGATTTTCGTTAGGTCTGGGCGATTGGCCAGGAAGATAGGTGTTTGTATTATCGTACCGGTATAACACGATCGGAATTAACGGGTAAAAAATGGAGATTGATAAACGCGCCACTTCAACTTAGTAGAGCAAGCAGTAATGCCAGCTTATCGTCAAGTAACAGGCACAGCATGTGCGGTACTCCTCAGCAACAGAGGCATCAAAGTTGGGCGTCACTGGTATTTATCTCCGCAAAATGTTGTTATTTGTATATACATAATTAAATTTTCAGCGAAATTATCGATGCTAGTAATAAAATCGGTAAAGCTGCAAAACTGTAAAAACTTCATTTTTCAGGAGAGAAGAAGCTTTGTGAATTAATGTAAAATCACTTTGTACTGATTTTATTCACCAACTATGCCATTTATATTTATTTTTTTGGGCTTTTTAAATACACAGTGAGAAACTGCGTTAAACAAATACTTGTTTATAGAATCGACCGCATAGTACCAGTGAAGGTACAACACTAATCAGAGAATGGGAAGAACAATCGCGATCGGCACCAACGCCAACATCCTTAAAATTATGGCAACGCTCGAATGATGCTGCCAATAAAACTCCCCAACAAGCATCTTTCCACAATATATATTTAAACGAGGAAAAGAAAAAGTAAGAATACATATATATTATTCTTTCAAATTATATTTGTGCCTTTATCTTAGAAAATATTTCACGTATATATATAAATATAGATCCGCACAATCATTGGACATGAGTGATCTTACAGAAGCTAGTGTTGCAAATATAACGATATCAAACGAATCACTAACTAAAACTGGAGAATCCATAGTGGTCTCTGGGAAAGGCATGGGCAGTACAGTTAAGGTTAAGAAAGTTTAATTATTTGAAACCTGTACGAAATTATCATCGATGAAATTAAACGTGGGAAATTGAAATAATATAGATCAATCCAGCTGCCTGGAGTCCTGTCCACTCGGTTGGCTCTATGGTAGGGGTGGAAGCTCATCCGGAAACGGATGGCAGTATATTTGATCCCGATTTAACGAGCGATTCCGGTGTCTACGGGGAGGATGAAAGTTCTGGCGCGATGTATTGGGCTGAATGTGACGCCTCCTGGTATAAAGTAGAAGCTGGGGCATGTTTTGTGGATCCGGCAAATCCTCCCAAATGGTATATTTACTAGTTAAAATGATAAATACATTGTACATGGGAACTTATAAAAGAATGCATGTGCGTATCTTAAACTTGTAGGATTGCTGACACTAATGGCATAAATAATGGGGACATTGCGGAACCTTGGAGAATACATATTTTAGAAGAATTGAAAAAGAGGCTACACAAAATACAATTTGATTCATCGATATACGAAAAAGTCGTTGAAAAGTGAGGTCTTGAAAAATTGATATGATTACTGCTTTAATATCTTGTACAATTATATACTAGAACATCTTTTATATTTTTAATGGTATGTTGTAGGTCGTCTTGGGTAAAAAATGGTGATGCAAAGTGCAAAGTTAAGGGTGGTACTTTGTACGAGGATTGTATTATTGAATTAGAATGGATAAGTAGCGACAGTGGGTCCTTAGATTCTGGAACTGTAACTATCTTGAACTCGGATGGAGCAACAACAATTGTAGGTTATTTAAAAAATAATTATAATAAAAACTTTATCTGATTGTTTTTAATGAATATTCTTTTTGCAGGTTCAATTTCCTGTATCTGAGATTATGTGTGTAGTATGCTGTAGCGAACCAGGCAATCCAAGGATAGCAATTCATACTCCGCGACTGCTTCGTTCGAAAGTTCTTAGGCTGCAGTTTTCTAGCGACACAGAAATGGAAGATTGGTTGGCACATTTAACTTCAGGTATATACATCCACTTATATTTTGTTTTATGTCGAATTAATGTTTCTATCCCAAGCGCTGTTATGTATTTTCAGTTACTTGTCAAATGAATAACGTTTATGGAAAACCAGGGCCCAATTCGATTTGGGCTACAACTGCATTGGGAGACGTACATGTATATGATCCAGCTGTTGTAGAAGTAAGTCGATAAATACATAGTGCAATACATTGTACTAGAATATTTATGGTAGCATTCCTCTATACTTGAAGTGTTTTTAGGAAAATAAGCTCGTTAACGATATTTATGTACAAGAGCTGGACGTTGCAGGAAAAGAATTACCATTCGAGTGTATATTACAAAATGGTTTTGGATACGGCAGTTCCCTAGAAATTACAGTTTGTGTCCACGATGACGCTGATAGGTACAAAAAAAAATAACAATTCAAACTAGATTTAAGTCAGTTACATTTGATTGATAACACTGAGTATTTTATTCGTTAGATTATCATTCAATTTTGTCTGTTATACAATGACAACATCCATGAAACAAAAATGTGTGATGGATAGCCATGATATAGCGCTCCACTTTAATCCAAGATTCAGAGAGAATATAATCGTACGCAACACATATCAGAATGGACAATGGGGAGACGAAGAAAGAAACGGAGGTAGCCCATTAAAAGCTGGCTCTGACTTCATGATAAAGATCGTTTGCGAGATTCGAGGATATAGAATTTTTATCAATGATACAGAATTTACTTTTTATAGCCATAGAATATTACCACAGAGTATTACTCATTTGAGAATTAAGGGACTAATGACATTGTGTAGCGTACTTTACAAATCTACGTCTGTATGTAATAATTTTCTATACAAATCACCAACTAATTTATAATGTCGGAAGGAATTGCAATTGAACGTTTTTATTTTCATTATTCGTAGGTAATCATTGACCCAATTGCGATGTTCTGGAGACAAATGGGTGGACACTTGAAAAAAGTGGAAACATGTTCCGTTGGCGTAACATGGGGAATAGGTTATGACAGTATTGCATGGGTTTATACCGGTGGTTGGGGAGGTTTATTCTTAAAAGGTAATAAACTTACGAAAATTCGAAAGTTGTTTATGCACTTAAATATAGACAATATTATTATATTTCAATATTTGTAGGACTAGATAGCAATACTGGGATAAATCCCATGGTAGATACTCATAATTATTACGTTTATGAAAATCAACGCTGGAACCCGGTGACAGGATATACCTCTCATGGTCTTCCAACCGATCGCTACATGTGGAGCGACGCAACTGGACGCCATAAACGTACTCGGGAGAACACTAAATTGTTGTCAATGCACTGGCGTTGGGTAAGAGGAAATATACACGGTATAGAGTTATATGCGTTACAGTTATTAAATATTACATGGAGGTCACCATGCCTGGATTTGTAGTTAATTTTTCTGGAAGTTCATAATAACAAAAAAACTAGTACGTGCTACATAGTTTTATTTGACAACATATGAGTTTTATCATTTCAAAATACCAAAGATAACGTTAAATAAAAATATCGATATATCGTATCTTGTTCAGCACTAAATACATTTAATTCTAAAATATTTAGCTCTACACTATGTAGCTTTTATGCTTTCATTATATATCACATTAACTCGTATTGAGAATTTTAAGAAGTTTTCTATTGCCCACTATAATAAAATATACTTTTTCAACCAGGTGTCAGACTGGATAGTAGATTTTCATACGCCTGGAGGCGTTGACAGGGATGGTTGGCAATACGCTACTGATTTTCCTTCCCAATATCACGGTAAAAAACACTTCACCGATTATGTCAGAAGAAGAAGATGGTTCCGAAGATGTCAGTTAACATCTAGCGGTCCCTGGCAAGAGTTAGGAAACACAAAACTACTTGACGTGTCTTTATATGTACGAAATGTTCTGAAACGCTAATAATACTAATGATATAACTATAAGTAGATAATTTTGCAGTACGTTTGTTCCAGGCAACTGGCAGTCCTGGTACAGATGCTCAAGTTTATATATGGGCGATAGCTTCTAATGGTGAAGCTTTATTTAGGAGAGGTGTTTCCGAATCGTGTCCAATGGTACAAATAAAAAGTTCCTTAGCATTATTGGATATAAAGATTTTGTCAAAATATCTAGTAGCGTTATTAATATTTATTTATAGGGAGTTTCATGGGAACATATACCGAGCGATCAAGCTTTAGTAGGTATTTCATGCGGTCCAGGCGGTCAGGTTTGGTCCGTAGGGAAAAATGGCTCCTCATATTGGAGATTAGGTATTACCTCTTCAAAACCTGCAGGTATATATAATATAGTAATAATGAACTCAATCGTCTACCATTATTGTATTTTTATACTTAATTGATTTGTATATTTTTAGGTGTACAATGGCAGAACGTTGAACCCCCGGCTGGTGCTCACTTGAAACAAATCTCTGTAGGAAAAGATGTAGTATGGGCATTGGACACGACAGGTAGACTGTCCGTGCGTCGTGAAGTGCAAATGAACGTTTTCCCTGAAGGAACCCATTGGCAAACGTTACCTGCGATGCCCAACGATCCTATTCACATAGGTATTTAAGAAGTACATATATAGAGCAGCGTTTCCCAGCCCTCGTAGAATCCAAGAAGTATCCTGAAGGCTTCCTTAAGTTCTAGCAATAATTCTGGCTACAAATTCTTTTTGAGTATCCTGCTGACAATACTACTGCCTGTGTATAGTTTAGACGACAAAATTTATCCACTTAATTCTTCTTTTGAAAAAATTCCAGACAAATGTAAGATGCGCTCCCCAAATGCTGCACTTCTTGGAAAACTCTACAGATTACCCAATAAAAAACGATCTGCGTTGGAAAACGCTGATATAAACATCACACCTGTTTATTTAGATATATTCTCTGACCCCTCTGGCATAGGTATACTCTGAGAGTGTATGATTATGGCTTAGGCAGTACATGTATTGTTTTAATCTGTTAACCAAGGAAGACTAGTTAAATTGTCATTTTTATGGATCTTAATGTTTCAGTGAATTTCAATGTTCTTATTCAAGTATTTAATGATTGTTGTCTATGTACTGTATAATACGTAGTATTCACGTCTACTGAATAAGAATATTCGGCAGATTGATTTCATGTGTTTCTAATACTGTCTATGTAAATAACTGTAATCCAAAATTTACCCGGTTAACAGGTTAAATGAGTTTTCCAGTGAGTTGGTAGTTTTTCTGCATTAACCCTTTCGGTTGAAACATTAGTATGCTTGCCTAACATTTCGTCGGTTACATCACGGACAGGGTGGGTCAGGAGACACGGGACATCCTAATATTTCGTGACTCATCCTGCATACATCAATTATCGACTAAACCATTGCGTAATAATTGGTCACAACACCCGAAGGGTTAACCCTAAATTAGCGAAATTTTCTAATAAATTTTACCAGCATGCCCAACTCTGTTTAAAGTAGTTTACTGTCATGCAGTACATAATTCTTCTTCATTTCGTTTAGATATGTCCGTTATAAATGTGAAACAAGGTTTTCGACATGTATCCGTCGCTAGAGAACAAGGTCAAGTATGGGCAGTTTCCGGTGCTGGGATACTTTGCCGTAGAATTGGGATCACCGATGAAAATCCAGCTGGAACAGGTTGGGCGACTGGCATAGGGGTGAGTCGAACAAATTACAGATAAATAAATTGCGGATGTTTATGCAAATTTATATTTTTATGGACGAATTTAGAAGAAACAAAAAATAAATTTTATTACTCTACAAACAGCATAGAATCTTTACTGTTTTGAATGAAAGCTTTTATTCTATTACGTTTTGCTTATTCGTATACCTTATACAGGGTCTCCCAAAGTAGCTTCGACTCCCGGAAACGAGGGAATCCTGGGATGATTTGAAACAACTTTTTCCTTAGAAAAAATGTTATCCGAGGCTTTGTTAACCAGCAATAATTAATGAAAAACCTCGAACAATCAGAGCGGCAGCGTTGGCTACACACTGCAATTGGTAGCTAACGCTACCGCCGGAACTCGACCGACAGACTCGCGCTCTAATTGCTCGGGGTTTTTCATTAATATCTTGTTAACAAAGCCTCGGATAACATTTTTGCTAACGAAAAAGTTATTTCAAATCATCTCAGGAACCCCTTGTTTCCGAAAATCGAAGCTATTTTGGGACACCCTGTAGATGTATAAACATCCACCATTTACGGATAAATACCGTGTTGTAGCACGTCTAAAGTTGTGATTACTCTTTAACAGGCAAATTGGCAGTACATAAGTGTAGGAGGACTTGTAAATAAAACGAAATAAATGATCCGTTTTTAGATCAACGAAGATTCCTGTAACAACATACACAAAGTATTATTATATTATTATTTCCACAGTGTGATACACTAGCTTTATATGTCACAGAAACATTTTCATGTTTTCTGTAATGTGTACGATTTAGTTTTGCGATTTACTCGATCTTGAGGTGGAAGCTTGAATCGTGACACATACACCAAATGAAAATATTATTTAAAACAATACAATTGATTATATTATTTGTATATATGATTGTGCTAATTTTATATGTATACATTGCATTTAATTTTTATTGCTTTACGACAAGACAGACACGTGGAAGTGGACACGTGTGAAAAATGAAATAACGGAATTATTAAGGTAAAATTCAGTAAAAATTTCCACTGAGTACAATCATTGAAACATTCCAGTCATGTGCGTATACATAAATCATTTATGATAAGATAAAAATATAAAGTAACAAAATGTTAATTTTATTTTTTTAATAAAATTGAATAGTGCAACTTGATTCTATCGAACACCTTGTCTAAGTATAAATTATTATGATTATTGCAGTATAAAAAAAAATGGATCAAAGATTTTTGTGATAAACATTAGATTGTTAGTGCAAATACTTCAAAAATTGAAATTATGCTAAATAATCATATGTACACTTTTATTTTAATACATACTTTCCACTTGTTCTGAGATCTATTTAATATTAGAAACCGATAATTAGATTTCATTTAAGGACTTTGATCAAGATTTAGTTAAGGAGTACGAAAAGTTGAAGTTGTAGTAACAGTCATAAACATAAACAGTAAGAAATCGAATGTTTGTAAATGTTAAAAATGTGTTTTACTTTTATTGAAAACTTAATGGTTTTTTTTTAAATTGTGATAACTGAGTGTTGTACTGAGTCATGTACTGCACTCTGATGCAGTAACTTTGTGTATTTATTATTTCTGTAATGATATATTTTAAAAATCAGGACGTATTCATAAATAGCAAGAGTTTATATTCACAAAATTACTAAAACAGAATAGTAGAGGTTTCCACGAACATCACAACTGCCATATTTGGATGATATTTTTAGTATGTTACGCCTAAAGAATATCATCATAAATGTTTGTTCATTATTAACCCCAAATCTTAGTTTGTTATGAATGCTATGTATTAAGCCCTGTATTGTTGATAGTATATTCTTGTCATGCCACTGTCTATAATGATGTAGAAATTTCATTGATACATGTGTATTATATCTTCGAGCGTTTAATTAAATTGTGTAAACAATAAATCTGATTTTTAAGAATAATTTAATATTACCGTTGTATGCAATACTTGTCTGTATATACGTATGCGTTAGAAATTTCATTAAATGTGATGCCTCTTATTAGATTTCGAATTATTTATCCAAAATACAAGTGTGTACCCTTCTGTTATTTTAAGAACCGCGTTTAAATGAATACACAGTGACATAATATAAAACAATATATTTCATCAGTGCAAATAGCACTTAAACAATCAATAAACGTAGTAAAATTTCTTTAAGAAATATGTACATTGTATCAACACGTTTTCGTATATAAATATAAAAAGGAACAAACAGATGTTACAATATCATCATACGCTACACAGTAGGTCAGAGTTCCGTTTTCACTGAATACAATGTTGTTGAGTATACTTAAAATGACTCGCAATAATTTATGCATTGTACCGATGTAAAATGGCCAGCATTTTACTGGCGTCTTAAATTTTCATGATAAGAACTATTCTGCATTGCAGTAATGCTATGTAAAAAATGTTCTATACAGTCGGAATGTTAATGTCCTCCTTTTTTTAACGACACGCTAACACGACTAATATATATTAATCGTATTTTAAAGTCGTAGTGGTCATCACTTCTTGATAATACCTATGGTTTTCTCTGAGAAAATTTTTTTATACATTAATACCAGACATATCACATAGTGCAATGTTCGCTGTTAGAATCTAGTTACGATTCTAACTTGATCCGCGTATTTCCTTTTCATCATTTCAGCCTCCATTTTATCTCTTTCCCCTTGTTTACTGTGAGATATACCGTAAAAGAAATAAATAATAAAACCTGCCAAAAATATAGGGAATTAACGATTAGATATATTTAACATTATTCTATTAACCCAATTGTTATATTTACCGATTAGCAACCATATGGAAAATCTAATCCACGTAAAAGCATCCAGTTGTAACATTAAATATAGGTTTATGAAAACACTGCAACACGGTAAAAGTGGCACTAATGGTACCTAAAAGCAACAGTTACGTGTAAACTGATGGCGTTATCTTTTCGTTTTCCAAAAAGTGATTTCGAAGTATACCTTAAATGCTATGTCAACCTCCTGGACAGGTTGTCTCGCGACAGCTGCTAAATTTAATAATAATATTATCACAAGTACGACTAGTATCACAGTTTCTATTACGTTTTTGCCAAAGGCATCTGCGCCCACGTTGTTAATGAACAACGCGATAACAAATATAACAACACCTATAAAGGAAACAGCAAATATAGAGAGAAACATTAACATTGTTTGATGTCTAAACACGGTCAGTTCGATAATAGAACTTACATAACATCGCAATACCATATTTTGCAACTTTGGTGGACGTTTCAGTTATCTCCTTTTGATTGTGCAAATTGAATATCTGTTTTAGGATATGAATTGGCGTCAATTCGTAACCGTTCATCGTTGCTAAATGATTATTGTTAGAGGTGCAGTCCTTCCCTTGGTATCTAATAATTGAAAATACAACGAATACTTTTCAGAATTCCGATATACCCTAACGAGCAAACTCGGTTTCAGCAAGGGAAAAAGTAGCTTGGTAGAAGAGCTTCCTACCACTTGATATCGACTGGTATCAGCAGTTACTGACATTTATGTCAAGTTATTTCAGTACTTGAAATAAATTTACCAAGTCAAGAAGAGAAGCCAAGTTTTCTCGTGAGGATACATAATTATATTAATATTGCATACTAGTTTTTCATGCACACACCTCAATATTAGAACCGACACAGCCACTATCGTGTACGCTAACAGCGTTCCAATGGACATCATATCTATCAGTTGATGAAGATTAAATATAAGTGTCATGGCTCCTGTGAATAAACCGGCAATCACTGTGCCGAAAATAGGCGTCATGGTTCTGGGGTGCACACTGGCAAACTGTCTGAAAATTATCCCATCGCTGCCCATCGCGTAAAGAATCCGCGGCAATGGAAACATTGCGCCCAATAAACTCGTACATAATGCGAACGCTGCTCCAATATTAACGATCCACTTAATAGTGGTCCACCCAATTTGATCGAACACATAAGGAAATGGTGCATCGGCATTCTAAATACAATAAACATAATATAAACAATATAGTTAAAGTTCACTGTATTATCACTATTACAACGCCCCTATATCGTATACCACTGTAAAGCATTCGGCTGAATAGGAACTTTGAACAATTGAATTTACGCTATGGTACCTGATCGTAATAAGGCCACATCATAGTTAGTACAGTGGAGATACTGAAATAGGCGATGAAGATGATAATCAAAGACACAACGATTGCTATAGGTATATTCTTCTGAGGATTTTTAGCTTCCTCCCCGGTGGTTGCCACTGCATCGAATCCCACGAAACCATAAAAACATTTGGCCGCGCCGATCATTATACCACTTATGCCGAAGGGCGCAAAACCCCCTAATCCTGCGTGTTTCACCGACTCCGGTATGTCCTCTGCTGGTATTCTCCAATTCGACGGATCAGCTGGCCAATGCAAGGTTCAAGGTAGTTAATTTACTCGAGATTGTACACAGTAAATTATCGATGAGTGTTTGAAGGTTCCTCGGCACCGTGTATTCAGACGTCGTCCCCACCACTGGGCAGGCCTGGATTAAGATTTTTGGTGACCCAGGACTATCAAATTTTCGGGGGCCTCTGGTCGAAAATCGAGGGGAAGGGGGCATTGTAATACAGCACAACAAAATACATAAATCTTTAAAAATTGAAATTTGTTTTAAATAAAATTAAATAACATTTAATCATAATGAAATGGAAGGTTCAGAACGAGTCAAGCGCACAGTAGTGGGGATAACATCTGAACATTCAGTGTGGAGGTACCTTCGAACAGTCATCGATGATTTACTGCATACGCTAAGAAATAATTATACCTTTCATAGATCCCGCCACAATGATTATCATGATGGTAATCAAATTGACAACAGTGAAAATGTTATTCAAAATGGAAGACTCTTTGACTCCTACGCTTAGCAAAATCATAAGAAGCAGCACCACGAGGAGCGCGAAGAAATCAGGATACTCGGATAAAAACGAAATGTTGATCGGCATGGCGGCGTGCAACGTTTTGCCTATCACGTTTCCAAGTAACGCGTCCAAATAATTGCTCAACCCCCGTGCCACGCTCGCAGTACCTGACAATCAAAATGAAAAAAAAAAAAAACGAAAACAGAGAGATGAGAAAATAGGTAACGCAGTAGCAGGCAAGAGAAGTTCTGGATTTATGTTTATCTACCTATTATGTACTCCAAAATTAGATTCCATCCTATGATAAAAGCGACGAATTCTCCCACTGTTATGTAACTATAGACATACGCCGATCCTGCCTTTGGAACCCTGGAAGCGAATTCTGCGTAGCACATTCCTGGAATTTCAAACACGATTTTTCGCCTCGGCCAAATAACGCGTACATCGTTTGAATTTATCGCAAAAAAAAAAGTGTACAAGATTCAGTGATATTTGCTTAGCGGACATCGTGGTCATTCGCGACCCGTGCCTATGGGCCAGTCGAACAATAACATTGATAATCCACAAGTATTTTCATTTTTTCCGTAACAATGCATTTAAAATTTTCCCCAAAACGGCGGTCATGTTTTCAAGGAGAACACGCGCGGATGGTGATCATTACACAGGGGACGAAGACGAATCCGGTTCACGAAATCTCCGTCGATAACGAAGAAACCGTTAAATCCCAACGCGATCGGTAACCGACACGGGGGTAACTGATTTACCGGCGAATGCGGAAGCGATCGCAGCAATGAGGAAGGAGATACAAACGGCTGGACCGGCCGTCTCTTTCGCGATGCTGCCGGCGAGAACGTAGACGCCGAGGCCGAGGGTCGAGCCAACGCCAAGTGCCGTGAGATCGAACAGGCCGAGAACACGGGCCAGCTCGCCTTTGCTATCCTGGTTTTCATCGATGCGCCTCCTGGACAACGCTCTCCATAATCGGCTCGCCATGCCGAGCCGCCCCTTCACCTTCGGTGCCTTGTAACTTGTCTGAAATAAATTTCAGGCAGTTAGGTCGGATCATCTTCAACCTGTCTATCGACGAAGGACAAATAAACTGTTGAAAGTAAATTAAATGTTTTAAATGCTCACTACGCTTTTCTAATATTCGCGCCTTTTGCAAGGGGCAATGGGGAAAAAGGACTCTGTATACCAGACCCTTATTTTTTCTCCTCTCTCTTTCATTCTACGAGAAAAGCAGAGAAAAGTGTCGGCGCTTGAGAACATGCGATTTTAACTTGCACCTTGCGATAATATACCCAGATAGCACATGACGTCTTCAAGACGCTCATTTGACAGCTACTTGTGTCCCAGTTTTTTTCCCGCCAAACATTACCAGCATATTCTATAAGCAAAAATAAGACAAAAATGTCATACAAACATAGGCTCTTGAATGCTCTATCAAAAAGTTGTAAACAAAAATATGAAATGATAATCAACTGGTCTCGTTTCCATCTGAAAATGTTGTCCGTTATTATGTAAACATTAGAGTATATGAAAACATGACAGATATCAGCAATGTGCTCTTATGTTGTGTCTACTGAACACCAGTTCTTAATCATTTCGTATTTTTCTTTAAAACTTTTTCATAAAGCATTCAAGAGCCTGTGTTTATATAACATTTTTGTCTAATTTCTGTTTGTAGATAATGCTGGTACAGTTTGGCAGGAAAAAAACTGGGACACCCTGTATATGCACAAGTGAAACCAAATGGAGAAAATTAATGAAATAGATTGTCCAAGGATTAGAAGAAGATCACAAGGATTCTTCGTATCAACCGTGTAAACATGAATCGTGGAACTACAAAGTGTTACATACGTTCAAATATGGATAACCTGGTAGGACAAATCAACGGTGCGGCATACCTGCTCGATCATCCGTGAAAAATATCTCGAGTGTATGATTCTCGGAACGTAACACACTCCCGTGTAATCGCGAATCTGGAAATCACTGCTCGCCATAAGCGATGCCTGGATAACAGAGATTTTATTTACGTTTCGCATTTTTCGTTTGCTGTTTTGCGTTATAGAGTTTACGCTACACGGTATTAAATAAAATTAAATTAAATTAAACGTGAACCCCCAATAAAGGTTTAATGAATCCTGTGCCGTCTTAACACGAAGAGTAGGTGTATATGTACAAAAAATATGAATTTTCAATTTAACTATTAACTCGTCTAACCATTTTGGGAAACTTGGATTTGTGAAAGCATATTACACGTCTTCGTCATTTGAATATTTCCATCGACACATCGAAAGAAAAAGTATCACGGCCTCCTTTTTCTCGAGGTCATTGTTTTCTGATATCTCGAGATTATCGACACACTTTTACCGATTAATCGCTAAACCAATGTTCGAACGCATTCCGAGTTTGTTGTCCTCCTCAGACCGACTTCGTCGTTTCTTTTATTGAATGTCGCGAAGCCCGTTGAATACAATACACGGAGACTTATCCAGTCCCCACATAAAAGGGGATCAAAATGGCCGCCGAGGGTCTTTGTATGATAAGAAGTACGCGAAGGCCGAAGTAATTCGATCGAGCCTAAATTATCACTCGTATTGCCATGGTTGTACAAATTTCGAATGTACATAGAGATAAGCAAGGATTTTAAATATAGACGGAGACGTGTCTCTGAGATAGAAAAAAAAATATACATGGCATTATTGGCCGTATTTGGTAAGGTAGGGTCGGATCCGACCCGAGGTATTTTTCGCTATTTTATGTACGAGGGTCTGAAGCATTTTTCCTTACAAGATTATTGTCCCGACGCGGACTCAAGCAGTATCTGTTGTCACGCAAAGTATTTTCGATCGTATTCTACGAAAAGTCGATGGAACGAACTATGTAATATAATTGTGACGTAAGTATTTGTGGAAAAAAAACAGGAATAGGTATCTCGTTCCAAGGAAACCTAATTGCGTTAAACACTTGACGCGCGAATGGAATGACACAATTGTCATTAACGACGAACGATAAAAGGACAATAAAGAAACGAAGACCCGAGCATCGATAATCTGGTTACACTACGATAAAACGTCAACTGTTTCGCGAAGATGAACTTGGATAATGAACAACTGTCGATTACATATGTCCCGAGGGGACAAGGTTATGCCAGCCACTAGTTACTTCTTTGTCACGTTTACGTTTACCTTTTTTTTATCGATCGATCTGTTTTCCCCTTTCGATTTCCACGATTACATAAATCGCAATATCTCGAACACTTGCGTATCATAATTATCTCGAAGTATTAATTAACCGTACTTCATTCTTGTGATAATACCCTTATCGTAGGCGGTAAATTTGCTATCTTCGATTTCTTCCTCGAAGAATCGATCCGGATGACTTTACAGAGAATTCGCGAGAAACTGGAGAACTCTGGAGCTCAAACGGCTGGACTGATTTTGAGAAATTAGGTATAAGTTAACAATTTCCATATGGCAAACATTAACACTCACAATGTCTCACCACAAGGCTTTTGATTTTTTTCTTAGTGAGCTGTAGAACTTTAAAAAGTATAAAGTAGGAAGTAAAAAGGTTAATTAACAAAAACAATCCATCTACGACAAAAGAGTAGATAGTACGTTGAACTTAAAAGCGAGAAACCAATTTTGTATTTATAAACATTTGGCCAACAATTCTGCAATGTTGTTATTAAAACGCTTACGTGAATTTCTTCATGTTTCTCGCGCACGTACGGAACGAATCAATCAAAAGGTGTGTTGACATTAATGGTCCTTAAGGCGGCCGCGCAAACAGCCATCCGTCTCACCGGCTAATAATTCACGTCAACCGTGGAAACGCGAGCGAGCATAATATCCTCGACACGTTTTATCGCCGAAACCTGTCGAAGACCGCGAACGAACCGAAAGAACTACCTTGTGATTGATTTATGATCGTTGTTGCGCAACCACGTGCTAACCAGTGAAGACAGTTATATTTTTTTCGCCCTTTGAGTGACCGAGCCGGCGACTAAATTACGCTCGAGAACGATTTTAAGCGTTAAAATCGTGTGGACGGTACGAAATAGACGGCGGAAGGAGCGAGAAGGGTAATTTCGCGGGAAACAGGATACCGAATGACAAAGAACGTTGAAATGCTAATTGGCCTATTAACGATAATGGCGGACGGCGTCATTTTTGTCTCCGGTCCATCGGTACGGTTTTCCGGGAGAATTAATCACGTTAGCGATGAATTGCTTGCGATAGACCGCATTTAACGAATCAATTTTTCCATTCAATTACTACCCAAATAGTACACGATGCCTCGTAGACGCCCATTTTACGGCTATTTTAGGTCTAAGGCACACTTTAAGACGTCTTTAAGGCGTCATCTGTGTATAAAACCCCGCCTGGTCGCAGTGAAATTTCGTCGGTGAGAGAAATTCATATCTTTGTGGGAGAAACTGCAACAAACTTGAGAGTTTCTAAAAGGATTGCGCGCTCACGACATGAAAGTGGAGAAATGACACTGTTAATCAGTCTTTTGAGTAATAAGAATACTGCGTGATCCTGGTTTCGATCGAAGTAAAATCGAACTTCGGCGACTGTGAATCAAACATTTCTCATTCGAAAACTTAATATCTACTTCAAAAGTTTTCTATTTAAAAAAAAAATGTGAATTATCAAGATTACAAATCGAATTATGAATTTAATTCCCCTACTTTACCCCGGAAAAAATGTTAATTCGTAAAGATACAACTTCCACAGTCATTGTACTTGTCATGAAAAGAAACATTAGTCCTCTGTGTCATTCGTAACAGATGATATATATCCAATAATCCTGCGGTAAGTCCATTTGTCAATACTGTGACCTTACTAAATGCAAGATTTCAAACGTGCCCGACTATAAAATCAGTCATTTCGAGGCTAATAACCTAAGACACGCGGCAACTAAACGATAGCATATTCTACATTGATGTCCACGGGGCAGCGACATAAAGAGCAAACATGCAGACAATCCGTATTTTCCATCGGCAGTGTTTGCACAAGAACCTGCAAGGCCACTCGATCATTTACGTCTTCGTGAATCGCCTTGATCTCTTTAAGCAGCGATCGTGATCGATGGCGTAAAAGAGGGTCGTACTCGGGCGATTACGTGTGTCCGCGGTTCTACGCTGTTCGCATCCTGATGAGAAAGATTCGTTTTAACCGCTCCGTGGTTCGCGCGATTAAAATTCCTCGCGATGGTTACCTCTAATTACACGACGTCCGCGTACATTTCAATAGACAGGGGGAATCACACGACGCAACAAATTATCCTCCGTATAATCATCGAAATGGAAAGGATACGCTGAATTCCTTCTTTCCGCGAACAATCGTTTTTTTTTTTTATCGTCTCTGTGAATACCTTGAGTGAAATCAAATTCCGGTTACTAGAACGGAAAACGTAACTGTCAGAATACCTGTCAAACGACCCCATCGATAGGTGGCGTTTTAAGTGTTCAACGTAAATTCGAGTGGTCAGACGGAACCAGCTGCTGACCAGATTCTTGGTCGAAATTTTCGGTCGTCCAGTGACATTGACACTAACAATATGGGGAGGCAAACAAACCGCGTGTCACCGGCGCTGGTCAACGTGTGGCAAGGTTACGGACCAATTAAGGCGCGGCACCGGGGTACCCGTGTCCTCATTGCGGTGTGGTGTCGATTCCCCTTCGAAACGTCCCTCTCCTTGGCGTAATGCCTTTATTTACGATTTTTTTTACGATACACACGCGGCGCAATTACCGATCCCGTCGAGTTTCGGCGGGCTGCTCTTCCGCCATAAGACGATAAAGACTAAGTACATATACTCATTTTGTCCCTGTATAATAGTTTTGCAAACGTTTTTTCGACGGGTGACCCAACTATAGGACGAGCTTCCTGTATCAATAATACAGATTGGTGAAAATTTCTAGGTCAACGAAATCAGAAGCGATAAAACTCGTCTTCTTCTCGTGTCGCGAGGAAATATAAAAGCGGAACGTTTGAAATCTTGTTTGCCTGGATTAATACGGAGAGAAATAGAAAGGCGGTGGGGGTACTATTGTAAGTAACGGGATCAGAAATAATAATGCGTCGTCACGCGGTTGCGAAAAGAATAAGAAAACGTATCCCGAGGCGAGAAGTCATTAGTTCCGGTTGTGTCAATGGTACGTAAATCCAGATTGATGAGGTCAGATTAGGAACAAACGACGGGAGCGAAGTTGAATAACATATACAATATCGATTTAAAGCGAATCGATAGTGAAACCAAGTAAAGGTATAATTCGAATCACTGAAATTTGAATTAAAAAATGGTATGCGTAAGACAGAATTAAAAAATGTTTGTTTTAAGTAATTGTCCAAAGGAACCTATAGTCTAGATTATCGAGTTTGGCAGTCAATAATGTCAAGATCACATGTGAAACAAAAAATACCATGTCCAGTGTTAAGCTACATCTTAATTTTGAATTAATTTTACGCAAGTACGTAATCGTCCGGATAACGAGCAAACCCGAAGACATCGCGTCTCGATTGGGTCCAATAGCCTCGCTATGCTAACTCGACTTGCTTCCGATGATGTGTATTATGTGTAAACACGGCAGCGTTGAAAATTTTTCTCAAACAGCTGCGCGACGGAAGCATAATATTTAACCGACTAGTCAACAGATTAATAAACATTCATCCGGGGATTGCATGGTGCTAATTGGTCAACAAATTCTGCGGTAATTCCTGCCAATGTAAACAAATCTCGTGCGCGAAAAACGCGGTTACCTTGTGTTATCGGGCAGGTGTTCGTGTCCAGGACTGTTCAATTTCATCGAAATTAACCCCCTTATTTAGCGAGTGGAGTTTATACGAGATTTAGCAATAAATACAAGTTTATAACCTTCTAACCGGCGATTACGTATTGTATATTTACACTCGTTTGTTGTTATTTATCATTACGCAGCTAGGGCGCGCCTACAACCAAACAATTTTACCCCAAACGATTGTATGTAATTAAGTAATTAACACATCGTACAGTGCAACAGTTCTTGATAAACATTGTTGTTCCTGCGGTAGAAGTTCGGAGATCTAATAAATACAGAAAACGAGTTAGTGTGCAGTTGATCGTGATTGAAAAAAAATAAGACCCAGAACTTAGATATGGCAAAATTCGAAACGTGTATAATTAGTGAAAGAATTTAGGTATTTCATTTATGTACATGACCTTCACTCGTCGAAACGTTTTCACTCCCGTGACCACCATAACGTGGGGTACAAAGTACAATGTGCGGCATAAAAATAAAAAGAAATCGAACGTGAACTCGGTACAGGGTAAAAACGACAGTTTACAGTTTAAAGGCCTGTTTTTTCACAAATGGCGAATTATAGTTACGCGTTCCCAAGTAAAGGTGACGAAATGTAGCCACAGTAATTCTCTCGCTAGACTCCCTTTCTAAGATATTTATCCTTGCCTGTGTATCAAATGTTACGCACGCACACTGCTACGTGGCCTGAAAACTACAATCAAAGAGAAAGGAATATTTTTGGTCACCGTGCGGGCACAATTGAAACGAAAAAAGAAAATTGTCAAGCACGTGGTCGACGGTCCGCACATCTCGCGAAGTATGATACGTAATTGACAAAGATAGGCAGCTTAATATCTAGAAAGAATGTTGACTAACGAACAGAAGATAAGAAAACTTGTGGCTTCTTTTTCTCTATTGAATAAACATGACAATTTTAATATATCTATATACATTTATAGATTTACATATATATTTTATATATGTAATTTGAATATACACTTATCCAAGTAACTGGAAATTTTTACTCCCTATATATACATTATTCGTATAAATTATGCCCAATTTTGGTGATCGGACTGCAAAAATATATCCTTCTACTATCGAATTGCATCTCGCTCTAAATTACGCATTACTCGATACATAAAATTAGAACGACTAATGTCGACAAGAAGTAACAAGGTTGATCCTGAAAAAAAGACCTTGATATTACTTGATTATTCGATTGCATTATTATGGCGATCAGATTAAGATCGGAATGTATTGTATATACTCGAGATGTGTTTTGTCTGCCTTTATCATATTCAATTATCACAAACAAATTGGATATCGAGTTTCCATATGAAGCAATTATCATTTTAATTTGAATTTGTTTAAATTTGTATTTTAACCAGCGATCATTGACAAGTGAACCACGTTGATTGATAATATGACGCGTTATGTAGATTATTTTGATTCCTTTTTGTAAATCAATTAATTGATTACAATTGTAACGATATAATAAATTTCATATCACCGGTAAAATAAGACTAAATTATGAAAAGTGAAACGAAACTGGATTTGTCGACCTTAACGTTAACGACAGTGTTTTCTCAGTCGCACCAACAACCATTTTTTATGAACATTGTTTGCAGTATAAATAGGAATACAAGTCGAATTATAAATTGCTACCTCGATTTCCGGTACTTTTACTAATTTGCAATTAATAAAAACAATCGTCACGTATTATTTCAAAACCTCATTGTTTAAAACATTTTTGTTGAATAAATATCATTTTACTCTTGAGAAAATAAACTCTGTATTGGTAGGAAGTGATAATTATGTTACATGACATACGAAGAACCAAAATACTCAAGATCGCAAAATCATTCTTGTACGTGCACCACAAGCCACGCGATTGTTAGTTAGATCGCAAGGAAACGATTACAAAGTAACCTTCTATTTTTTCCTTGACTGACCCACCTTTTTCATTTTGCCAATATAAACACACACAGCCCCGCACATCGCGCGCGCATGCACGCGTGCACGTGTATATTTGTGTACACCTGTAGCTAAGGCGTTGCTGTCACGCTAGGTTTAAATGTTCCAAAAGGGAACGAACACACAAGTACAGATAAGTAAGTGAACTTTCTAGGAAAAACGTATCTAGAATAGAGTATATTCCAGAATAATATAAGATTCAAAACAATTTCGATTTACATTAGAAGCTACACATTTTTTTTTAAGGTACAGTTAACGTTTGTTAGATCTAAACTACGGATGTCCATAGAAATATAGATTTTGATGCACTGATTTACATAAAATTAGAAACAAATACACTTCATTAAACTTTTCACTATAATAGATGTTAAACAGTCCTGCGTTCTATAAATCTATAAAATCCACCGTTCAATTATATCGAATCGTGGTAAATTTTTTAATTTAACGAAAAACTAGAAACCCATCGGATTGCTCCATATTCAGGGCGGGTATACATTGCGCGGATGAAATGATCTTACCTGATTTCGGAGATGCGTGTTAGAAAGGAAACCAGCCGCAAGGAAAACTTTTCACATACGAATACACTTTGTTCAGGCAGGATGGACATACGTGAAATAAATCGGAAGTAGGTCGACACCGTGGAACCGATCGCACCGGAGTACGATCGTAAACTAACAATGTGCTCTAATATAACGATGCTCGCTTCCACCTGTCCGCTAGCTAATAAACTTCAATCACCTCCCACCATGATTTCAAAGCGGCCGCGTTAACGCTCGAAATGTATGCGTCGGGTCCCCTGCCTCGGGGGAAAGAGACGCCTTCGTCTTATTCGAATGTATATAAACAACTCTCACTGTTTTGTTTCCTTTTCGCTGAGGCGGACCTCTACCTACTGCGAAACGACGACGACAAAATACATATAACATACTAACCAGGGACCTTAACCGTAAACCATCATAAACGAAAGACAGTCTCGGATTATTAGTGACGCAAAGTAATCCGGTTCCCCACCTTACCCAAACACGCTATGACAAAGGGTGACTCGGTTACACGTATCTGAAGCAACACAGTAAAACCTACGGATTATAATTTCTTTTGTTGAACAACTTCATATAACAATTGCAATAACAATTTGGGGGGGGGGGTGGCTACAGCCCCTTCAAGGAGGCCCCGATCTAAGCCTTCCGTTTATGTAAAAAAATTATTGAACGAAATTTTGTTTACTGTTTCCCTTTTGAAATAATTAAAAATCGTACTAAATGTGGAAAAAAATCGGATTAAAGTTGTTAATTTCCATAGTTCACTTTACAATATTTGAAATTATAGAAAAATTCAATTCACCTAAACATGATCAATTGTATTGTGGACTTGGATGTTAAGAAGTATATTTAGTATTTTTCTCAAAAGATCTTTGAATATAATTTATGGTTACCTAATCTCTGCACTATTTATGAATCATTAATTCATAGGTACTACCGACATTTGACACGTCCTAAATAGCGATTGCGATCCCTAATATTAATAGATTAATTAAAGCTGAAGAGTTCAGAATGATTTTCTGGAAATTTTGCATTACTGAAAATAAACTTTAGTTAGAAATAAACGTTAACTTAGAATTATATTGTTATGCAAATAAGATGCGTTAACAATTTCGTAAATGTATGTATTTGTTGTATATAGATAATCATATTAAATAAATGATTTGATTTTATGAAAATATATCTGACAAATGATGTGAAGAAAGAAATAAACTATTCATTACAATTACTGACTTTTCACTTTTTTATTCTTCTCTAACGAGAAGAGATCTTTCTATGCATGCATCATGGATCAGTTCTAGGAATTCTTCATACATAGAACTGGTCCTAGATTACATTAACTACTATTAAAAAATTGAGTACAAAATAAGCTAATATTAGTAATTTTACTCTACATACATCCGGTATATTAAGTTCTTTCAGCCGACCTGTGATATGTGTCTGGATTTGTAGCACAGCCTGGGCACGTGTGTAGAGATTCGTGAATAAATATCTCACAGTCCAAACAGAATGTTTGATTACATTTGTTACAAATGTAAACCTGTAAATACATATAAAAAATGACTCACATACATACATATGTACATTTTGTGTCTATTACAATTGTATGGATTATACCTTCTTATCTTTTTGTGACAAAACTTTTTGACAACCGTAACAATTCGAAGGTGTCCCCTCAAATGGCACTTCTTTAAACGCCTCAACAGGGAATAAATAATGATAAGACCGAGCTAAATGAGGAGCAGATACCAAGGTAAGTCCACATGCTCTACACTCTACGGGAAGTTCACAATGTTTACTGAGGCACTGTGGACAGAGGTATCCTGTGCTTGTAAGTTTCACAGCAGATTCATCCAAGCCTTCTGCATGACTACAAAAAATATTAGTCATTCCTACTATACATTCAAATTGAAATATAATAAAGTACTTTGTATTTGTTTTTAAATAGGGATTCGACTGTAAACGTTAATACATTTATTGTACGTTTTAATGTGTAAAACACAAAATAAATTTACCACATGCACACTGCTATGGATGTATCAGTTCCAGAAGACTGCAAAGCATGATGGGGAAAACCCATTTTCACGAGAGCAGCGTCCAATCTTGTTGCAGTTGGTGGTGGGTCTATATGCATGTTCAACTGCTCTTTGAAGTGTTTATCATCCAATGCAACACCGTGCTCCCCACCAGTTGCAGTGGCCATTCTTTTACAGATGAATAACTCAGCAGCCAGTCCTATCACACTACATCTTACACCGTCTGTTTTCAGACTCTGAAAGTGTACTTTATTATTATTAAAGTAATACATTCGATTCTTGTTGCGTGCACAGAAGCGCATACTTGTATAGTTTCATTAATATCTCCTGGATCACACGTTGTAAGAGCACCTATAATTACTAGTATTTCTTTGCTAGCATGTGATGGTAGGAGCCTTAAGGATTTTAAAGCTAGTTCCAAGGAATTTTGTAATGATGGTTCACCTGCTGGTTGAAGTTGCTGCATTGCTTTTAATTCCTAACACAAAAGAAGATTTGTATTCGCAAAAGGACAAAATTATTGATAATAATAAAGATATATTTACCCTAACATGTTTTTTGGAGTTCCCAGTCAAATCACCAACTTTTTCGGCTCTTTTATTTCTTGTAACAATTACTCCTAACTGGCTTATAGGATTTTGATAAAAAAATTCATCGATAAAATCCTCTAGGAGCTTATAACAAATAACCAGGATTAAAATGAAATAATAGGCTACAATTATGTTATTAAATACATACCTTTAAGGAACATAACAAACGAGTTGGTTTCAAATCTTGATTAGACATTGATTCAGAAGCATCAAGAATTACATAAAGATGCCTCATCATCCCCAATCTAGCACCAATCTTTTTATCCAACTGTCTTTTTCTTTTGGCATTGTGAATAATATCGGCAATAGATGCTTCCAAAGATCCATGATCATCTTCCTTAATTGCTTCCCTAATGAGAAATTATTTTTGCTATTTGTAGTCATAAAAAAAAACACATAAATAAATAATTTTTAAATAAACGATTTAATACCAGGTCTTTTCATAACCAGTCTCCCACCGATACTCCTTCTCTTCTTCATCATCAGCCATTTTTTAATTTCTAAAACAAAGCTATAACAAAAAAAACATAATTTGCCCAAATAAAAAATTGTACTATAAAATATATTAGATGCTTTCACGAGTATAGTTAAATGTGTGTTTACTTAGACTTAGATGATTATGGACTATGTTGCATGAATTAGGTTAATGTTGTTTATATTACTGTCAACATCAACAATAACGGGCTAAGATCACAGTAGGAAAGAATGACAACAAAGTCTTAATATCTTCAAAGGACTGATATCATAAGATTGCATTTAATAAAGACATGTGAAAAATACCAATTAATTCATATCAAAAAATTTATAATAGCGAACACGAAAATTACACGCATGTATTCGGTCGATACGGGGGCCTGTTGTTCGAAACCTTCGAAACTTTTCGTGAATCAGAGGAAACGCGTCGTCAATAAAACTAAAGCACCGGCATGAAAGACCCGTGCAACAGCTACATGAAGTAACAATTAATCATACACAATTCATAAATCTGCGCGCAATAACCAATGACTATTTATGAAATTGTTTTGACATTAATTAACATAAACTCGCCTTTTCTATACTCGATACAATGCCGGAACATAGTCGAACTCGATGAATTAAAAGCGGCAGATTTGAAATCGATAACAACCCGTTCGGAATGTGGTCCGGTTTTTGGACAAACTTTACAATTTATTTCCGATTGGACGGTTTCAAACATAATGGTCTAAGTATTAAAAAGAATCCCGTAGAAAAGATACGGTCGAGGAAGGGAAAGAAATGGTAATTGTCGGATAATATTTTCCCGCCAAAAGGTAAGCTGTTGCCGTGGCGGGTAGGCGCCATGGCGCCACCATCGTCAGACGCGATCACTGTTTTCATCCCATCTCGTGCGGCGACGGCAATTTTCCGGGATCAAGAAAGTCTTGACTTTTCCACGGTATACCGGGCGCGTAAGTGATCACATCATTGGTTTGATTCGCGGTCTGATTGAAATCGGTACCGGGTCAGGTGTGTTCGAAAAATATTCATGGGTGGACAGGAAGTGAATAGTCGGGGAGAGTTTTCGCGACGAGAGCCATCTTGACGAGCATCGGCTTGCTCGTGATAGACGGAGGACGAGTCTGCGGCGGCGACCACGGCGACGGCGGCAATGGCATCGTTTCTAAATGTTTCTCTCGATTCTGCACCGCCGTGTTCTCTGCAGTCCGAATAGCCAGTTTTATCAGTAACGGTCTTTCACGGGCGAGCCGGCTACCGTTTCAAGAACGAATTATCTGTGAGTTTTGTTCGTTGGTAACTTACGCCACTGGCCGCGTTTACAATGACTCCATGCTGTGCCCCGATGTCTTCCGATTTATGCGGGAATTTGCTCCGTTTAAATAAAAACCACGGTCGTAAGAGGCTCGCGATTGCTCGCGGAATCACGAATGCATCATAAAATTACCGATAGCAACGGTGCGCGTGGGTGCAGTGAACCTCCGAATCGCCGTAACAACGACAGTGGTGTCTTATTAAAAAATGTTCGCAGTTCGATTTCCACCGGCATGTTGCGTGTATAAATTTTTCCAAGACCCGCGAAACTTTGAACTCGGTATCATACGATCTTTTTCTCCGTTCGCTGTGCCACCCTACGACAATGCTATTAATGATTTATTATATTGCTTTTCGATAGAAACAAATTTTTCTTTTAATTAATTATTTTCATCTGATAATATAACATTAACGAATTCACTTGTGCACTGCTCAACCCTTTTGTTACCAACTTATTTAATAGGTAGAGAGGGGTGTTTGTTCAATTTTTTTTTATGCATGTTACATGGAAAATAAGTGATTCGCAAATACGTTTAAGAACTTTTTTTCCGTATCCATTTTGACAAGATCGAGAAACAGTAAAATCTTAATGTAGTTACATAAAATTTTCGACTACATCGAATTTTGGGTGTAAACTGTAAAATACGGTTAAAATATTTGTTCATAAATAAAATACTATTTACTTTACACATTTTATAAAAAAGATTTATAAGATATTATATTCATTTACTTGACTCATATAAAGTATTTATTTTGTTAAATAGAAGTTTGTAAAGTACTTTATGCATTTTGTTCCATAACAAGAATTTCTGTAACCTATATCCTCCTTTTCATTGTTTCACATATTCTTGTTAATATTTTATGTTATCGTAGCAAACATCATAGGAGTTCCTGTAATTTTTCCAGAAGACTTACATCCAAATGCCTTAATAGCAATGAGTACAAATGAATGTACTATTAGTAATATTTATATAACAATGGGTAGTGAATATTTAAATGAAAGTAAAAATGAGTATTTAGTTTATATTGTATAACTAATTTTATTTCTCAATGTTACTATGCGGCTGAGCATTATTTTTCTTGTAACTATGTACGTGATAATAATTTGTACTGCCAAGTTATTATACATGATAAAAACCTTTTTTGTTACATTAAATCAGTTGTGTATCAAGGAAGTTATTTTACAAATTCTTGTAAATGAATATAATATTTTTACATGGTATATAATAGTATTTGGTATGGGTTATGCGTGACCCGATCATAGGCTTTCACGTCCATGATGAGAAAGTCAAATGTATATTAAGGTACTTACTGCAGCTATTTGTAAAACAGTAACACTAACTAATATTTATTCCATGATAAAAATGTAGAGATGGCAGTACTATAGGTAGTAATACACTACAGGTTAAACATTAGATTCTGTTGCTTCTAATAATCTCTGCCTGATTTTCTTGTATCACCCATGAATTATACTTATGATATTGTTCTTTCAATGAAAAATAGTTTCTGTACATTCAAAACTCAAAACTCTAGTCAAATGTGAATTTTAAGTTTACAATGTAATATTTGGGCAATTATTAAGTAGTGGAGTAACACAGTATTTACTCACTTGGTCGTATAATTTATGCAACTTCTTGATCAGGAAATAAAAGATAGTTTTAATTTCTAGAAAGCAACATTGTGGATAGAGACTAGAATACTGTGTTGAGCAAAATGGAGGGAGGAGATGGCCCTTCGGCCATCAGTAGTAATCCTACTGCTATTAAAGGTAACATCTATGATTTTTTTTATGCACAAGGTTGTCGTACAAGTAATTTATCTTTTTTTTTTTGCTGTTTCTATAAATATTTGTATATACCAAACACTTGTGAACGAAAGCATACAAATTTTTGGAACATTAATAGTAGATATGCTTAAAAAAGATCGATTATAGAAGTATCGTTATTCCCGAATTTTGAAACTTGTATCAATATATTCTCTTGAACAGTTTCACGAAGAGTACCATAGATTTATAGAATAATTGAGTCGGTAGTCCATTGGTATATAGAAATGAGGAACCTGACATACCGACGTCTTGTAATTTATGTAAACGAAAGGCAACTTATATGATTTATTGTACTTACTGCGTTCAACATAATTCTGTTACGATATTAGCTGCACAAGAAGAAATGGGAAGGCTAGATGTTCTCGTATGTGGACAGTGCCATTCAGTTTTTCACTTTATTGAGGAATTTCAAGAGCATCGTACGAAAGAAGGCGCTTGTACTCAAGTATCACATTTCCGTGAAAATAGCAATGTTAGTAGTACTTAATGAATGTCGCAATTAATTGCAATAGCAAGAAACAATGCTGGTGTAACAAAGTTATTTAATTGCATTGTAATTTCGTACAGAACGAACAGAAAGCACAAGTGTGGGCCTTTCTGCTTTGGAAAGATTCACAGATTCAGCAAGAAGGTTCGGATAGAGACTCTACAAATTCGTGGAAACTCTATCAAAAATGGTGCAAAATGGATACGCACATTAGGGACTCCTGGATCGCGGCTGGGAAAACTATTCAAACTTTTACGAAAATTAGTAACGCGAAAATGCAGGATGTACCTAGGCAAAATCAAATAACCAATGCAGAAGGTATTTTATACAAAAGAACGTAATTTTGTTACAATGCTCTGGGAGGTAGTTTACTGGAATTTTTTTGTACTTTCGTAGGTAAACCCGTGCTTGTCCGTAAGGTTATTAGGAATGGACAACCAGAAGAAGGGGACAAGAAAGACGCCAAAGGTTCGGAAGCAAAGAATCAAAAAAGCGAGTCCTTTAATGCCGAAGGGGAAAAGAAGGAGAAACCAAAGTTGAAACCTTCCATAAAACCTAAGGTTAGATGATTGCATTCGATCAGTCGATTAACTCATTTTTCCATTAATAATAAACTCAATTTTGATCGTCACCACACAGGGCAAATCCAGTAAAGCTGGCGATGAAGATAAGGACACAACTGACGAGGAATACACAGTGGAAAAGATCTTAGCGAAACGTTTTAATCCAAAAAAGAGGTGTTCAGAATATTTACTAAAATGGGAAGGATATACCCAGTAAGTTTAATTTACAAAAAAAATTGTTCATAATCTTGTATAAATAGCTAGAACAATTTTGATTAATCGTACAATGAATAATTGAAGCGAGCATAATACGTGGGAACCTGCTGAGCATGTGGCGACGTGTAAACATTTATTGGAAGAGTTCGAAAGAAATCTTGCAAAGCAAAAAGAGTTGAAGGCCGCTCAACAACAAGCCAATGCAAAGGCAGCTGGGCGGGGTGGTCATCTTGCTCAGAAAACAGTGATAAAGGCGGAGGCGAAACCTGGACCAAGTACTGCGGCTCAAGTAGGGTAAGGCAATGAATTTCCATAAGCTTTACTCGTATATTCCGACAGTTATACTTATGTAAGAAATTGTGTACTTAGGAGACCAATGCGTTCAAGCAAATCAAAGGCGATGGATCAAGTAAAACAGTGGTGCGGTTCGATGAAAGATGAAGATAACGATTGTACGTATAGATACATGATAACATACATGTTGATATTATCATAGAAAATACTTCTGTAAGTACATAGATAATTCGTCGAAACACCTATGATTTGTATGTCTTTCAGTGTTGGGGAAGAGGAGAATGGATTATTCTGAGAGCGATTCCGAGGATGGTGGCAGCAGTGCTGCGAAACGAGCGAAAGCTGATACAGGTAGCGATGAAGATTGGACCGGAGAGTCCGAGGAGGAGAGAATGTTGGGTCGGAGTGACGTGATTCAGCGTGCGTTTAACCGTGCTAATGCTCAATCGAACGGTTCTAATCGAGCGAGCGGTTCGTCGACAGATCTTGCGACTTCATTGGGACTTCAGTCTCCCGAAGGAGCAAAATCGAGCCAACCGCCGGTATTGGTCGCGAACGCGAAAGGAGTCGTTAAAGTAGACCCGAAGCAAATGCCAAACTTGACGTCCGGTGTTTACGTAATGTCACGGAAAGATGGGATCATCAAGCTGGACTCGTCTCCTAGCGGGAAGTTGGCTGTAAAAGGTTCACCGACCACGCAAGGTGTTTTAATGGTTCAGAATCGGGATAACGCTAACGTAGTGAGAAAGCAAGTAATATCAGCCTCGCAGTCGAATTCGGTAACGCCGGTTAAAGTGGTATCGAAAATGGATGGAAGTCAAGTAGTAACCCAGATGAAAGTAGTTTCTAAGCCGGTTACGAATAAAACGGGAGGTACGCCGAAAACAGAGCCTATAAAGATCCAGCCGAAACCAGATCCGACACAGTTACCGCAGATACATGTCGTGACCGCGGTGCCGGCTCCCATAAATTTGCAGCCAAGAATAAGTACAGGAATACGTCCTGGACCTGTTACAGGCCAACGTAATGCGGATGGTCGACCATTGTTACCGAGACCCCCGCTCCGTGCGACGACACCGACTAGCGTGCTCGGAATCGGATCGACGATTCGTACGCCTGTCCGGGCGCCAGCCCCGAGGCAAGTTCAGGCCCAGCAAACACGTCAGGTGCTACAGAAACGTACGACGACCGTGACCACGCAAAGTAACTCGGTGAGTCCCGTCTCTGTCACGCAGATACGACCGAAGTTCACCGTGCTCAGTTCACAGCCGAAGCAAGTGGTAAAGTCCGGAACAAGTCCGGTGCAGCAACAGGCGAAACAGTCGCCGAAAACACCAGTCGGTAAGCCACAGTCATTATTGTCTCCGCAGCAAAAATTATTAATGGCGAAACGGAAAGCTCAAGAAGCGGCGGGTATCATTAAACCAGGTGGCCGCGGCCTCTTGGCGGGTGCACGTACCAGTATCGGTCGAGGTAGAGGGAAGTTGGCCGAGAGCCCGACCAGCGCGGCGCCCGGGGGCAAGCCGAAGGAAAGTAAATTGGCGGAGGGGGACGGTCTTCACATGGAGTTTCACGAGGTCGGCTCCGAGGAGAGTAGTAGCGACGGTGAACCGGAGCTACCGCCGCCGCCGGAGACGGATAACATTGCCACAGCGGAGCCGGACAGTCCACCGCGGCCGTTCACTTTGTGCCCGTTAACGGGACGTATCATCGGGCCGGATGGAGAACCCGTTGAACAGCCGGCCGAACCGGAACCTGAGCCCGAGCAACCGACGACACCGTTGACCACCGTCAAAACACCCACCACTACGTCAGAGAGTATAGACGTCGCGGCTACAACATCCACCACGGAATTGGTTCTACCTTCCCTTGATTCCCTCACAGATGGCAGCGGCATAATGAGAGTCGAGATGAGTCCCGGGGGAACAACAGGCACCATCGTTCAGACCAGCGAACCGGCACAAATGAACTTGTCGAACGTCAACGTTCCTGCCCCGGATCTTCCTTGCTTGGATGACACCGCTCCTCCAGCCGTGCCGGTCCCAGCCACGACCGCATCAGCACCGTTGCCTGAGGCGACACCAACCACCGAAACAGCAATCACGGCCGGACTGTCTACAGCCACGGTCACCTCCACCAGCACGATCGCTATCGCTTCCGCTGACGTGACCAAGCCCGAGGAGAAAGTACCCGCCGAGGAAAGGAAGGTAGCAGAGGACACGTCGAACTTAGTAACGATAACTGGCGAGGACGGTGTCGTTTACCAAGTCGCCGGACAAGCCGAGGACGGCCAGACATTACTGGTGACGCGTGACGCCGACGGCGAGCAACAGTGCGTGTACGTTACCACGGAACAGCAGGGTGACGATGGTTCCGTGCTGACGTTGGACCATGCTGTCGCGGAGGCTGTTGCTCAGCTGATACCCGATCAGGTGAATCTGGCCTCGCAGTTCTATGTGAAGGAGGGCGGGACCGAACCGGCCGAGAACCCGATGGTGATGTCTATCATGGATAACACAAGCACCGCGGACGTGGCCGAGGGACAGGAGGACGGTGATGGTAACGGACAAGTGGTGGCTCAAGTTGTACAAGCAGAAGAACCTACTCCAGGTAGAGTGATAAATTTAATGAAATTGTTTCGGGATAGGGGGTAGAATCTTTGGGACTGAAACATCTGAATACCTTTGATATCATCTAAAAAGTGAACTAAATATAATCCAATGAGAGTTTTATAGTTTATACAGGGTGAGTCCACCTAAAGCTGCGTCTACACTACATACCATAATATGTTATATAGCGAATGTATGACGAAAGATGTTTTTGTTTGGAATGTTCAAATTTATTCATTGAAGATATTCAGGTGTTTCATTTCCCGGTGACTTGTTTGTTGCATAGAACGAAATCGTTCTTTTTTTCTTTGTAATCGAACCTTATTGTTATTATATTATTGTCGTGTTGTAATTAGGAGGCACCAGAAGAGTAGTGTTACTCTTACCCGATGGAAACTTAATGATGACAGAAGTGACGGAAGAACAGTACGCTGCGCTGGGGCTGGGCAAGTGAAGAGAACACTTAAAAAACAAAAAAGAAGCAACTGACACACGCGGTTTGAAAAACAAACGATCATGCATCGAATATAATAATTTACATGGAAGTTGTACGCTTTAAGGGTGACCGTGGGTTGTATATATGTAAGAACGTTCACTTCGTACAATTGCAATGAATGAAATTATGTATTGACGATTTTCCAGCTAACAAAAGCAAGAGGCAAAATGTGAAAAGTAAAAACATATATATAGCTGGTGTGTTGTAAAAACAATTTAACAAAAAAAAATACAAAAACTGAGAAAAGCAAGAGGAAACGCAAAATAACAGAAATCTAGAATTTAGATTACGATTACAAACAAACAAAACAAAAGAAAGAGAGGATGACTATGTTTTAGAAATTCGTGTCTCAGTGTAAAAGGGAACCGCTGAAATTTTAATTTTTATCGTTTAATTTATGATAATACGCGAGGATCGCTGGTGTTTTGCCTAGGGTTTGAAGCGGGGTGAAGAAAACGATATCATATTACAGATAATATAAAAAAAAACACACATACACACAAAAACGTGCGACGACACCGTTATACACACAAGTTTGAAGTAAGCATTGTATTTGTAGGATTAGTGAAGTATAATCTGGGGTTTTATATTTTCCAAACGATGAATAGGCTTTTTAATTAAGAACTTTATTCCCCGCATACAAAGTCCAAGCTTATTATCGTCATCGCAGCATAGAGAACTCGCTGGACAAGCTATTAGGATAGTCGAACGAGAGATAAATTTGGCGCTTAATGGATTAATAAACCAGATGTAAATATACCATGTAATTGACTATTTAAAAAAAATAGATTTTTTCATGGAAAGCTTGAACCTAGTTTGACTCTGTGCTGAACCATTTCTTCACTGGGAAAATCGATAACGGAAACTGTCGCGTTTCTTATTATTATTATTTTTTTCCCGTTATATCCGAAATTACAATGATTTCGCGGCAGGCAAAAAATGATGGTGTCCGCGGGTGTGGAATTTGAAAAACTCTTCAGACTTGTTGAATCGTTCTTCGCGGCTAAGCAGCAACGGACACAGAGGAACACCCTGTTTCGCGTTTTCCACGGACTGTGTATGCTTACCTGTAGATTTAACTAAGCGCACTCTTATCAAAGATCACACATAATTTTCCGAATCTATAAGGCTTTAAGGAATGACGAGGGAGAACTAAGGCAAAAATACAGTGTTGTTTAATGGAACATAACGCGCGTCTCATTATTAAGCCCATTCCTTTTCAGCTTAACCGTGCACTGAATTACACGGAAAAAAAAGAAACAATAAATAAGTAAATGTAAACAAATAAGATTAATCGCTTTTGCGCTGTATGCTTCTATCAAACAAAATGTATTGATATATATACATATATTTTTTTTTGTTCATTTCTGTATGTTAATGGAAATCTGCGAACGATGGAAAATCGTTATTCAGGGGGGAGGGGGTATGTTAAACGACGAAAAGACTCGAGATTCGATCAGAGGATGTATGTTTCCGAAAAAACGCATAAGGAACAATGATTTTTTTCGCATTGTTTATATATCCTTAGATTGTACATACCGAAAGCGTAAATCTGTAATGTCGTATACGTGAAACAATACATATGATGTCTATATGCGTGTTAAAAAAAACAAGAAATGGATAACGAAAAGTAAAAAATCAGCGTCCATAGAGTTGAACTAGATTCAAGCGTTAAGTATAGGGGGAGTCGAGGACTCGCAATAAACAAAAGGGGAGAAAGAATTGCACGCGAAGAAAACGGATCATCACGTACAGTTACTCGCAAAAACTATCACGCCTGTAACAGTTTTTTACACATTTAATGGAATGTTGAAGTTGAAAAAGTACCAATTATGTACAGTGTGTATGGTTAATATACCTACTTTAGTTTTTGTAGTTTCCTTTAAAAAGAAAAAGTATTGTTCTCAATGGAAATAGTAAAAGAGCACACATGATCCACCCCAAGATCAATATTTATTTTGAACAAACTTATTCACGATACTCTCTTGGATATCCCAGCGATTTTACTATATAAGTTTTAATTTCTTATGCACACAGCTTTTTTTTGTCAAATTTGGTGTGTATGTGTGTGTGCGTGTGTGCGTGTGTGTGTCTAAATGCATTACGGTATATCGATTTAGTACCGAGATAAATTGTAATTGTTAACTTTAATGTTCAATCGAATATGTAAAAAATATGCAGACATGTGTATTAGATGGGCGGATATTTATGCGAGTAACTGTCCATTACGTTTCTCAGTATAAGAGGAAAACTATTTTGCACGGAGTACGGCCCAGGAATATAAAATCCTAGTATTTTACTAACGTAACCCTTTTGTACATAGAACTTCATTCTCTAAACCTTTATATAAAAATTGTTTCCAAATAAATCATAATCTTAAAATTATCGTATCTGTAGTTTTTTCTTTTTTTTCTTATATTCCTAAAAACACCTTAACCGAAGAATTTTTCATGTATTTGTATGGTGTACAGAATTTTATATCTAATCTTATGTAATGCACCAATGAATGAACGTTTACGGGATTTTGTAACTATTACAGTTGAATTTTAAGTGACAATAATATTAATAAATATTTAGCACATGAAATTTCGATTTTTTAATGTATGTACCTTTTTCTAACGTATATATTTCAATTTGGGAAATTGGAGAAATGTAATTAATGAAATTAAAATTAAAATTTTATCCCGGCCAATATCTTAGATTCTGGTTCGAAATAATCCTTGCGGTTGGTCGTGCAATTTCTTACATTTTTGCCATCCGACAAATCAAACGATCGAGCGTTCTTTTGTCAACGGGTAACGAACGCTTGTCAAAAAATAGAAACCAGCGATACCTATATCCTATTGAATAGCTAATTTTGCAACTGGAATGGCTTCTGTATTTGTGATTGACAATAAAAACGACGAGAACATCGATGCGCGAAATGTCGAGAAAAGATGGCAAAACACACCACGTCCGAAATCGTACAATTGGAAAATGTCGTACAATGTGATAAAGTCTGGTCAGCAGACTATAATGTTACAACAAAAATCTTCTTTCGTCATCTGTGTAAGTTCCTGTGCATCTTAAACGATCGGTAAATAAAGTAAAAACGCCAGAATATGAGGGTTGAATAAAACGAAATCTTGCTAGACTTACAGAAACAAATTACAAAACGCATGCCCTGGAGATATAAAACTGTTGAAAGAATGTACAGGCAGTGCTAAAGAAGCTAAACAAGAATTAAGAATCGAGGATGATGACTATGAAGAGCATGAAACAAAGCTGGGTACTAACATTGTTAATCAAGGGGTTCGAGATAACGATTTGCATACAGATTGACACCAGATAGTGACGAAATCTCTCTACAACTTCCAGATCCTAGTGGTTCGGTGCTCGAACCACCCAAATCGAAAGTCTGGGACGAGTACAAGAAATTGCTGCAATTGGAACGGTCGACTCCGAAACGCCAAATAGATTTTACGTCGCTGTTCACGGACATAACGTGTTTGAAAAGATTTTGCTTGGACAAGTACTGGATTCGAGAACCCTTATATATTTTTGTTATTTCAGTGTGACGCCGCAAATTGAAAGATCCTTGACTTTTTTAACGCCCAGACACTTAAATCGTTGTTTCAAAATTATGAGACTGATATACATACATGTAGTATGATGTTATTTTGAAGTAACAAAAATATCGATACTAAACCAACCTATTTAACCTTTTTGAAAATTTATTTTTAACCCTTTAACACTACTGAACACCTCTTTCAGGGGCAAAGGGGCAAAGGCCGTCGAAACGCCATATTTCTTTTTTCTGGCGAAAGTCTAAAAAGCATTAGCAGACTTTTTGTTTATCCTTTACTTTAATGATTCTCTATTTTTAATGGTCGATAATTAAGATCGAAAAAAATCATGGTTCGAGTAAACAAATTTAGAGAAGTAGAAGACTTTTTCTACGCCGCTCGTGTCCTATGAGGATTGAAGCAATATGGCGGACTGGTGATAGCATAAAGGCCTTGAAAACTCGATTAGTCTTTTCTTTAAAAAAAAACAACTTAGTTCTTTTCGCACAACATTAGATCGCTAGCGAAGTCGGAACCTCATTTTGGCGCTCGAGCAAAAAGGAGCATAATCAGGATAGACGTGCAAAAGACGATACTGGTCGCGGACACGAACTACGTGCAGTTTCGAAATTTCAAATTGAACAAGCTGTACAAGGTAAGACGTCGTCGCCCAAGTTCTTAACCGTTCTAATTCCATTTTACAAAAAAATTTAGAAATCCAATAGAATCCAAAGAATTCAAATTCACCATAATATAACGAAAATTCAACCTAGAAAACAACAAATATTCTTTTAAGCCATAACTCCAAAACTTTCAAAGTTTTTTTTTCTTAATGGTTGTATCTCTAAATACTAACAACAATTAAAAATTTGTGTGGATAATAAGATTAAATTTTGTTAACTATTTTAATTAATAGCTATTTTCATGACGCCTTGAAGACGCCTTCTAAACTTCGAAAATTTTAAACTCAGTTTTACTCAGTTTAGAAATTAGTGGAGATAGAACAATTAAGAACTAGAGCGATGACGTAAATTAGGTCTGATGCAACCTTCGCTGATGTAATTGTTACACGGTCGTTGATACAGAAAACGATCAGACTGCAAAACGTCACCACGTCCCCGGCGAGATTTAAGTTCGAGGGAAGGCCGATTCGATCCAAGTTTCAAGTTCTGGTGGAGCCTGTATTGGCGAACAGTGCGATCATACCGCCGGGGATGCGGTTGAAATTGAACGTTTTGTTTTACTGCGACGTGATCGAACAGCCGGAAGAGATGCTGATAGTGAACGTGCAAAATGGGAAGCCGTTGATCATCAGACTACACGGATTTAAGGACGCTCCGATTCTGTTAGGTAATAATTTACAGGGGAACAGCGAAGTAGAAGCCGTTCCTGGCGGGGGTGCAGAAAATGCCCTCGCACCTGGGTGGTCGCAGATCATTTATTATATGTAAAATTTTGGCTAGTAAAAATAATAATCATGATTTTTTTTATGATTATAAAAATTGTAGATAAATAGAATTCAATCAAAGGTTGTCGTTTATTGCTGGCAATTTGTTCGAAACTTGTACACAACTGGTTATCAGGGCTATCTGCTTCTGGCATAAAATTTTATTCAACAGGAACAGATCCACCGATCGAGAACGATTCCAACGATACAACAAGCATCCAGAGGTCTTTGATCACATCGCATCCGGAGCTGGACCTGCAGCCGGTCCAAACGGATGTAATATTCCAGTCTGACATTCGATAACAACGATAATGATTTCTGATTGACTCTTAAACACATTGTACATTACACGTCACTTTGCAGTCGTCGACGGAGACTAACACAAGCAGTGACACCTGGGATTCCGAGTCGCCTAAACGCAAAAGCACGACGTTCGACTGCAAGAAATGTTTCGTGGGCGAGGAGGTCGAAGTTTCAATACGATTCGAGAACATCGGGGGCGAGGGACGGTTCTTCTTAATGAGCGAGATCGATTGGAGTTCGATGTACATCGAGGTAGGGTAAATATTTACAGAAAGAGAGCCACCTCCGATTTCGATGATTTTTCAATTTATGTCGTCAAGGTCATCATCCTAAGTAGTGTTGTAACTTTTAAAAATTTGTCTAAAGGGGTGTAAACCGCCCTTAAATCTAAACAATCCAGACAGCACTGAGAGTCAAAGTAACCGTCAATTTATGGTAATTTATTTGTTTGTCCTACTCCAAGGATGTCACGGACAAGAACATTCTGACGATACCACCATTCGCGATCCGTCCAGCGTACTTCGAGCTGAAGCCCCAGGAAGAGATAAAGCTATTCATGCGTTTCCTGCCAGACAGTTACGGAATTCATGTAATAAGAAGTGGGGAAACGCAGCTACGAATTCAGCCGGGTTTTTCTTCTTTTAATCGTGTCTGTTGTTATCAGGTCGACAAGCTGTACATACTGAGCGACAACTGTGCCATGTTGGCGTCAGAAATGATCGGCGACGGTGTGTTCTACGAGCCGAGTTTCGTTCAGATTCGAACGATATTATCAACGTCACTCTTACGAAACGCTGACGACTCCGCATCGGTACGTTCTCGACGGGAGATCGAGTATCACTTACAATGTAGTACCACGTTACATTTAAAATATCTGAATAGATACATCATTAGCTAGAAATAAGAGTAAACATTTCAGCAACCGGACAGCGATTACGGGCCGATAGGGGACATCGATAAACGTACACGTTATCATGTAACCTTGAATGCGAGCTTTCCAGACGGAATTGGGCAATGCATGATATTCGTGAGCAATATTAGGTACGTCATCGTTAAACTGCGGATATTTATGCATTTATAGCGCCACTCCTGGTATTTAATATAATTAACCTCTTGAGGAATACTGACACTTATAATGTGTACGTTTAGTTTTACTTTCATTCATCATTTCAAAATAGTAAATACAATAAATATTCACGAGAAAATTCCCCAACAAAAAAGGATGTTCTACCACTTGATTGTCATTAATATTTATAAATATATTTCATATTAAATACAGCTAAAGAATAAAAAATATATTTTCTGATCTTCATAAATTCAT